TTAGTGAGCGAGGAGCACAATGTGAAAGTAGAAAAAAGGCAGTCAAACTGCAAATAGGCAGCATGAACAGCAGCAGTTTGAGGCAGATGAGTTCCACTGTTGATAAGAGCGCTGAGCCCTGGCGGAAAAAGCTTCGTTTCACAAGAACACACAGTGGCACTCGCCAATTTAATTAAGTGATAATTTTGCATTTTTACGATACTTTCACGAGCAGGTTAAAAGTACAGGTAACTGCTACTATCAGCAGTAGTCACGGTCACTTCTCTGCTTTTTGTGACCATTATCACAATGATTAACTCTACCTGTGTTTGCCATTAACCGTCCCAAACTATTTTGTGCTTTCCCTTTGCTTTTGCTGGAATTATTAATTTAAATCTTGGTCCAGGTTTTGATTTTCAGCCCGTTTCCAGTGGCACTTGCATGATCTGGTTGCCTGCACTAAATGGGCAGTGGCCGAGTTCCTCTCATTTTTTGCAGTGCGATGTATTTGTTTATAATTACCGATCGTGCCACTGTGCCAACGATATGTTCATTAAGTTGTGTAGAAGCAGTAGAATTGGGTTTTGCCATTTTAGTTTTTTCTCTCTTTTCATTGACCATGTCCAGAACATTACGCAAAGCATTGTCAAGCAACTGAACGATGATTAATAATTGAGAAAATAAATTTGGAAATTAAATAATACGATTACTGTGCTGCTTGTGTAAGACTGAAAATGAGCACTGCAAACATTAGCACGTAATTTGGTCATTTATTGCGATGAACTGCAACCACTGACGGGCGTGAGGGCACAGCAAAACTGAGTGGACAAGCAGGTCGAGGAAAGAGGGAACGTAGGAAAAAGAGCAGTAGAGGCCCAGGCAACCCGAATGGTCATTCAGTGCAGCCCACTGCTCCCTCCAACTCCGATTCACCCTCAAATGGAGCCAGCACTCTTTGATTGAGCATGTGAAATGAGCATTTCTGACTCTGCAGGTAGGCACACTCATTTGGCGCTAATATTTCCCAGGTGTACTACGTGTCTTTTTAAATTTTGATTACAAACACCACAACAATGCGCTTCAATACGTTTCAATTGCTTCAGTACCGAGCAGCACTTGGGCGATGTCAATTTATAATGTCGTGTTAATTGTTACGTTAATTGATTCTACATGCGCAGTCAATTAAGTGGACAGTAACTGAACACTGGTGCCAGCCAGGGCAGACACGTCACCGGACGTCCTTCTCCTGGTGCGACACGAGCATGAGACTGGTGTGCACGTACTAGTACCGTTATCCTCATTATTACTCTTACTTTCCATTGAGCCGTAGCTGGCAGTATCCATTTGGTAAAATATGCAGAGTGAAGTTGTCAGAGAAGCAGCACAGTGGCAATCGATAGAGCTACCTGAAAATTGCTTGCACAAAGCAAACACAAAAGTAAAGTGGCAAATTGGATAATTTGACGAGTTCATACGCGCGCGCACAGACACATGGCGACTATGCGGCGTGTTCATGCAGACCATACAGAATCGACCATAGCATTGTGTGTGCATGTGCACTCCACCTCAAAGTGCTTCAGATCGATCAGCGGTGGTGGTATTGTTTGTCTGGCATCATTTCTCTCGTGACTAATTTGCTCCTTCTCAGCAATTTCACTGCCAACTTGGTTGTTGCCTAATTGGACAGCATCAATGTCATGAATAGAACACGAACAGGCTGAATTACTCTACACACACACACAAGCACACTGCTGATGGCTCACGCAAAATTAATAATAATAAATTAATCAAAGGTATACAATTACTTGCCGACATTGCCTGTCTCTTCTGCCCTTGTGTACTGTCTGCGCCACTTTAAATTGGAAAGCATATTATATGTGATATTGACTGACTACCATATTAGATTAGTATTGAGAGAACTAGTATTAGGCACAACTACACGATGATCAACACACCGCCACTTGGCAGCAGTGTCTACAGCGCCCAGTTGAATTTGTTTGAACATGTCAACAAGCTGTCCAAAATGCGTACTTTAGTCGAAATGATAGCAAGAAATGTGCCAAATTAAATTAAGTAGATTCTTGTTGGCAAAAAAATCTGAACTGCCCAAGATAGCGACAGCCAATTTTGGCATTTGCCACTGCTTACAGTGTCATTAACCAGTGTCGCCGCTCTCGCTTTTTCACTGGCACTGCTACTGTCATCTTTATTTGTTCTGCAAGCAAATTGAAATTGAATTTACAGTCTGGTAAGTGGAAAAGATCAACCAGTGCAGTGTGCTGCACTAATACACACACACACACACTGAATTCATCTCAAAATGATGAATGAAAGTATGGTGAAGCTGGCAAACTGTGCTCGCGGCATGTAGCAAAGATCGTTGCTGTGCCGCCGCTGATGAGCAGCAGAGCATGAAGCGACTCGTTACCTGAGTCAAAAGAAGGAAAAGGGCAACATCAGCAGCAGTAGTGTTAGTAGTAGTAGTAGTGAAGTGGAAGGTGCAATTTGCGTAATAACAGCACTCTGTCTGCTTGAAAGAAGAGCTGACTCAATGGCCGAGCGAACAATTGGCGATCACCTCAATTGGCACTAATCACTGCAAACATCGTGGCTTATGTGGCTATCGCCGATAGCAGCTGACAGTGCGCACACCGCCAGACAGGACAGTGTATCTTCCACTGCCTGCCTCTTCTCTCCTCTCTTCTCCTTTCCTCTCCTCTCCTCTCGCCTCTTCTTCCACCTCACCGGCGGCAGTTAGTGTGTAGCTGCCGCCGGTGAAATTCAATCTTGAGACATCTCTGCAGCATCGGCGAGACTCAGTTAGTCAGTCAGTCAGGCACCACCATTAGGCCAATATGAGCTGGAGCAAGCACTCTCTTTTGGAGTTTAAGTTCGATCAGATATAGTCTGCGAGACACGCAGCACGGCGGTTGATGTTGCCAAATTATTCAATTTAGCGTAATTTATTGCCACCACAGCGAAATGACGAGCATGCCAACTTTAATCGACGCTATTAGGCATTTCAATTTCTACTTCTTCAATGGCATCGCAGTGTTCTCTTCACGCACTCACTGAAGAACACACATACTAAAACAAACACACTTGAGCTTACTTTAGAACAAAACATAATTGAAATAAACTTCGCTAGAAAGACAATTAGGAAAAGAGAAAAATTTATTAATCATTAAATGAGTAATGAATAAATACATTGAGTGCGCCAATACCAGATGATTGCCTTGCCGATTAGGCAGCTAATTGTTACAGATTGGCAAGACGGCGGTCGTGTGCAAGGAACAGAGCAACTGCGCAATTACTAGGCAGCAATTTACAGATGTGTGTTGCAAAAATTTGGTATGTGTGTGTGTTCTTGTGTGTGGTACACTCACTCAAGTCAACAACTGGCTGGTCACTACTAGTCCTGGCAAAAGTTTTGTGTGTGCATCTCTCTGCAACTCACCCTGCTCTCACTCGATCCAGGCGCTGCAAAGTGAATGGAGCTAAGAATGAGCAGAAGAATGCCAGTGCACATTCCTGGCTAGTGCTGTTCTCATCGTCTGTTTTTTCAGCAACAAAAGTTGTAATCACGAGGGGACTAATAAATAAATAAATAGTTCAATCTGGTCTACATAACTTCACAACAGAACTACATTGTACACTTTGAACAGATTCGTGTGCTCCCAAGTGACTTTAAATTGCACTTTACCGCACTGACCGGCAACACGTGGGAGCATCGTGAGCACTGTTGTCAGCACCTGGCGACACAGCTGAGGATGAGCAGCTCGCATTCCATTTTAGCAGCAGCAGACGATGAATTGAAGGAAAAGTAAAGGAATCTCTCTTTAGCAGGCACCAAAGATTCAACACAAACAAACCAGCAAACACGCAAAGAGATGATGGCAAAGGAGATCAATTCGAAGGAGGAAAAAAGTAGAGAGAAAATGCGCTTCTACGAAGAAACAGCCGATTCAGTAGTTTTGACGTCACTTTGCTCTTCTGCCTCTGACTGCTTGTGCTGCTGCTGCTGCTGTTTCTCTAATGACTCGTTCCGGTCTGAAGAGTCATCAGAGTGGTAGACATTTCCTCCGTCCACCTGCTTGCACACTTTGTCCTCACTGCTACCACCGCCGCCGCCGCTGCCGTTGCCGCCAAAACTGCCGACGTTGACATTGCCCTGTGCGTCCAGAAGGGAGAAGTGCAGTGGCATCTTTGACTCGTCCATCGGCTTTGACTTGGCGTGATTGGAGGAGAGCGTCGCCAGGAGGGACTGAAATGAGTTGCTCGCATACGGATTGAAGAACGGATTGCCAAAAGGGCCCATTTGGTGGGCTGCATTCGGCGCCGGGAAGAGATGCGGATAGGCGACGCTCAGCTCACGAATGGGAAAGGCGCCGGGGAAGGCGGTGGCAAAGGGACTGGGCGTCAGCATCGACGGCGAGTTGGCGTAGTTGGCGCTCATCGACTTGATGGAGTGTTCCAGCAGAGACGCAGACGCAGGAGAGATGTTCGCGGCGGCGGCAGCCGCTGCGGCCGCCGCTGCTGCCGATCCGGCGTTCTGCTGCTGCTTTCGGTAGGCAGCGGAGAGGGCGGCTGCGGCGGCGGCCGCTGCAGCATGCGGCCCAAAGAAGTGATGCTGATGGGCAGTAGGAGAGAGCGCAGAGGATGTCTCGTGTGGATGGTGGTGCATATGGTGGTGCTGCGAAGGAGGTGGTGCTGGTGGTCCGTGAAGAGAGATGCTGGCACTGTTGCCGGCCCCGTTTCCGTTGCTAGAGTGGTAGTTGATTGGGGGTAATGTTAGGTTAGTGTGCACTATAGTTGGTAACATGAGTTGGGCGGCAGACTGTAGTAGCTGGTGCAGTAGCCTCAGCACAACTCATGTTATCAACTATAGCAAAGTATTAGCAATAATCAAGTCAACTAACTCATGTTTCCAGATCATGCTGCCAAGTTGCGGCGGCGGCGGAGAGGAGTGAGGATGTGCCGTGCTGTATGGCGAAGCATTATTGTGACTGGTCGGCGCCATCGCGGCGCCATTGCTGCTAATGCTGATGCCAGCACTGCCATTGCCGCCGATTGTCGTCTTCTCCTGTTTACGCCATTTAGCTCGACGATTTTGAAACCATACCTTGAAGAAAGAGAGAAAGAGGGACACGAGATGAGAGGGATTCATTTGCAGAAGGGAGAGGATGGCACATGAAAGGCGCATTAGTGTCCTGATCACTCTATCAGCGAGCACTACCACCGCCTGCACCACTACCACCACCACTGTCATAAGCACAAACATTTGGCACATACCTGCACTCTGGCTTCAGTCAAGTCAACGCGCATTGCAAGCTCCTCTCTGCAAATACGGGGAGATAAAAAAAGTATATTTTGAATTTAATAATTTAATTAGCTTGATTAGAGTGTGATGGGCAAAAGCAAAAAAGGCACTAGACTTGTACGGAGCACAAAATATATTTTCGGAGACAGTGAGACAAGCCTGTTGACAGCAACCTCGCTATCATCGGACGCACTTAGTGATACTGAAGCCGGTCTCTCTCCTCTCTTTTCCTGAACTGAACTCTATTACTGGCAGCAGCCAAGTTATGATTTATAAAGCGCACAAGCCAAGATATAAATGTAATTTAATTTAACAACACCAGTACTCTAATATTTAATTGGGAAACGAACGCTGCATTTCAGTTTTCTTATTCAAGTTTTCAAATCTTCATCAACGATGGCAGGTTGAAGGACAAATAATAATAATAAATTGAAATATTGATAAATTAGCAAAGTCAATATTTCAATTGCTTCCATTTTCAGCAGATAAGATCTGCATATTTATTTGCCAATGATAACTACTGCTAGTGGCGACAACTGAAAGAAAATAGAGACTTTACTCTGCTATAATTTTAATTTGATAAACGTGACTGTCTTACAGCATTTGCCTGGGCAGTGAATTGGTCTATTAGTCAACAAATTGTCCGCTAGTGACCGGTAGTGATAAGCCTAATTGGCCATCGAGCTGGACTGCCTGAGTGGCCTTCTGCCAGGTATCTAGTCTGCCTCAACTATCGTCTCACCAGAGCATTCCCACGCCGCATCAATCACAAGCGTCATTGGGGCGCCATAACGAGCTCGTCAAGCACTGCCATTAGTGACCTGTCTTTGGTGGCCAGGCAGTGGTCAGCGAGCAGTGGCATTGTTGTGGCCACAGGCCAATGATCGATTATCGATTGCCACCATTCAGAGTGAGAATTAGTTTGCTCATTATCGAGAGGCAATTGATTGACTGACCGAGGGGAGGGAATAACAAAAGGGGGCCAAGTAGTCAACTGAAGAACAAAAAAGAGAAACTTAATTTATGATATATTAATGATCTGCCAGTAAAGTTACCTGTCCAGTGATCACCTCTGTGTTCAATGGACAGCAAGTTTGCCTCTGCTCAGAGAAAGATAAAGTTTGGCTGCAGAAGGCGACAGTGACTGTTGCCACTGCCACCGGGTCCTCTTTTCTCTCGTTCTCGTCCGCCTGGGCAATAATTAGCCGCAAAGAAAAAAGTGCTTTAGGCATTTCAAATGGCCAGAATAGACTCAGAGTAAAAAAGAAATAAAGAAGAGCTTTAAAGCAAGAAAGAGAGATGAGGGAGAGAAAAGTGCGGGGAGAATGAGCCGCCAAGCTCGCACGCACACTGCTTTTTTCTACTGCAGACATGGTTCAATGTCAAGCCCAGTGATGGCGACAGCCATAATGACGATAATGTGCTGGTGATGAGGCTAATTTAAAGGCAATTAAATTAATTTTACATAATATACTTCTTATCGTCAATAAATTACGATTAATGCCCAGTCGCTGGCGTCGCTAATCAAAGCGCCATTCGATTTGCGCTGATCTTCTCCACCACCAAATTGGACAACTCAGTGACAGAGGGAGACTGGAGCAGCACTCTCTGCAGACTGTCAGTCAGTCACACACACACACTCTCACATATCGTTCAAGAGATGAACAAATTCGCTCTCCCTGTCCCGCTGTTTATCGCCACCGCTGTCTTCCTCTGCCTTCTCCCTCCCTTTAATTTAATTTAATTTATCCATCTCAGACTTTAATTTTTTAATTTATTCTACCACACTGTGAAAAAGTGAAGAAAAAGTAGGAGAATAGGAAGCCCACTGTAGCACCGATTGCCCGGCAATATCGGTCCCAGACAGAGCGACAAACGCACAAACACACAGAGAGAGACTCTGTCAGCTGGCAAACTGCTCATCTCTCCGTTCACCATTATCTTCTTCTTCCTCTCCTTCACGTCTTCGACGCATCACTTGGCAGGTAGGCGTCTTTCAGTGAACGCGCTCGTTGGTACGGCTGCTGATTAAGAGATACTGCCGAAACTCTCCTCCGCCGTTCAGCTGTGGCAATCGAGCAAGTGCTATTAATTAGCCACACTGCACACAGGCTTAATAATCTAAAATATGTTATTTATAACGTGTTTTCAAATACATTTGCCTCGTAGCAAGCTCTCTGGAAGGGGAGAGAGCAAGATTTAATTAGAAAAATAAAGCCGGCCTCAATTGGCATTCACTTTATGGCACACTGCATCACCGGTGATGGTGCCTGCAACAGCAACAACAGCAGCAGCTGGGGCATTAGCAAAGTATCTTATCGCGACACCGATTTCTAATAGCTCAAGTGAGCGCACTCGTTCACTGAGTGAGTCACAGTGATGCTCACTGGGTAGATTAAATCTGTTGATGCAGTTTGAGCAAGAAAAACTAATAAAAAACTGAGATGACACTTACCTGGTGAACACGTCAGGATAGTGGGTGCGAGAGAAGGCCTTCTCCAGTTCTTCAAGCTGAAAACTGGTGAAGGTCGTCCGATAGCGACGTTGCTTTCGCTTTGGAAAGTCATCCCCAGGGTGGTGCCGATGCGAGGGATGCATATTCGGGTCGTAGAGGTGGCGGGTGCTGGCGACGGGAGTGTGATGCTCACTTTCCTGTTTACAGTGTGGGACAGTGGGAAAGAAGGAGAAGGTCAGCAAATCAATGCTGATAGCAGTTGTAGAATGCCGTGCAACTTACGAAAGTGTCCTTGTCCTCCTCGTCCACCTTGATGCTCATCGAGTCGTCGTCGTCAATGTCCTCATCCTCTTGATCGGACTTGTTTTCCAGCGAGAGACTAGGCGCCGCCGCCTTGTACCGACTGTCAATGTTGTTGTTGAGCTTATTGGCGAGCTGGCGAGATTCAACAAAGTCCTGGTGGACGGGCAAGACACCCATTCCCATGTGAGTGTTGTGTTGTTGCTCGCTGAAGGGCTGAGGCAACTTGAGGTGCTGCTCCTCAAACTGGTGGCTGCCCTTGACGGTGAATGCACTGTTGGGGCTGTGGCCGTGGCCTAGAACGAGACTGGCGATGGAGAAGCCGTTGGTGGGCGCCTTTAGTGGCTCCGTGGCTGGGGCAGAGTCGGCGCAGTGCCCGGAGCTGAGCAGCGGGGCAGTGTCTAGGTCCGGAGAGAAGGCGGTGTGATCTGATGGTGGTGATGATGACCGCTCGGAGGCCGAAGAAGGGGAAGCTTCGGTAGGTCGGTTAGGTGAGTGGCAATTGGCGGACAAGTGGTGAGCAGCTGTGGTGCTGTTCACTTCCGACTGCACTGAAGGAGAGGAAAAGTCGAGTGGGTGTGCGGCTCGCATGAACTCAACACATCAAACAGTGCAGTGGCTCAATCAACGATGGTGCTCCGTCAGGATCAGTGGTGGTCGTAGCAGTCAGTCAGTCTCAGAGAAACGATGCTCGAGAGAGTGCGCACTTTCTTGGCGACACGAAAGTGGTGGTAAAGGGAGAGAAGCTTGTAAAGAAAACAAATTAATGCAATGTAGCAGGAAAGGTAGTAGTGGTAGTAGAAACAGTGAACTGAAAGCAGCAGCCGTAGTATGCAGTAAGTGAGAAGGATAGAGAGAGAGAGAGAGAGAGAGAGAGAGAGAGAGAGAGAGAGAGAGAGAGA